AAGTTGGAATTAAGATTGCCGGGAGAAATATCAACAACCTAAGATATGCAGATGATTCCACTCTAATGGCAGAAAGTGAAGAAGAACTAAAGAGCCTCTTGATGCGGATGAAGAAGGAGAGTGCAAAAGTTGGCTTGAAACTCAACATTAAGAAAACCAAGATCATGGCATCTGACCCTCTCAATTTCTGGCAAATGGATGGGGAAGAAATGGAGGTAATGACAGATTTTATCTTCCTGGGCTCCAAGATCGCCGCAGATGGGGACTGCAGTCAAGAAATTAAAAGATACTTGCTCCTGGGGAGGAAAGCTATGGCAAATCTAGACAGCATACTTAAAAGTAGAGACATCACTCTGCCAACAAAAGTGTGTATAGTCAAGGCCATGGTTTTCCCAATTTACAATGTATGGCTGTGAACGTTGGAGCATAGGAAAGGCTGAGCGCCAAAGAATTGAGGCCTTTGAACTCTGGTGCTGGAGAAGACTCCTGCGAGTCCCTTGGACTGCAAGGCTTTCAAACTGGTCAGTCCTAGAAGAGATCAACCTTGACTGCTCTTTAGAAGGCCAGATCCTGAAGTTGAAACTCAAGTACTTTGGCCACCTAATGAGAAAGAAGGACTCACTGGAGAAGGGCCTAATGCTGGGAAAGATTGAGGGCAATAGAAGAACGGGATGACAGAGAATGAGGTGGCTGGATGGAGTCACTGAGGCAGTAGGCGGGAGCTTAAATGGACTCCAGAAGATGGTAGAGGACAGAAAGGCCAGGAGGAACGTTGTCCATGGGATCGTGACGGGTCGGACACGACTTCGCAACTAACAACAGCAACATGAGCATATGCAGAGTTCTTAGAGGGCTTTTTTTCTTAGGTTTTATGCTGAGCCTTACCAAATCCCATATCATATCATAAAATAACGTGCAATTTCTTTCTTAGAGCAGCAACACACAAAGACATTTCATTCTTTACAACTGGAAAAGTCTCTGGTGGTAAAAACTCAGATTGATAGTTCCTTTTCTGACTCCTGATACATCAGTCCAGATACTCTGTGCATTTCCTGAAGTCAGCTGCAGTTCATCAATTTTAATTAAATTTGGCCTTAAAAAGGGGACTCAGACTCTCCTCCTGACTTTTGTACTTCAGGAATTCTAAAGAAAATAAAATCTTTTTGGGGTGCTCAGTATAACTGCTGCTCCATGGCTGGAGGCAAGAAAGAGGGGAGGGACAGAGGCTAAGAGAGGATCTAAGAGGATTTCATCAGGATCTGGCAGCTCTTGTGAGGGGATTCTGGAGTTTCCTTTACGTCCCCTGAAGCCAGTTCTATGGTCTGGTCCCTTCACCAACCTCAAACACTGGAAAAACCAATGGCTTAAAGCTCAAGTATGCTCACAACTGCACACAGCTGGGGTGAGATTTCCCTCCCACAACCCTCCAGCCTGCCAAAGAGTCCAGCCTTTCCCTCCCTGCAGCCTCTCACCTTCCAGGGCTACATCCAGAGGCTCTTGCAGGCCGTTGTGCTCCACGTGGCATCGATAGCGGCCCCTCTCTTTCGGATCGATCTGGATGCTGAGTGTGGTGTGGAAGGTCCCATCTGCGTTGGGGGCCACGGAGCCATGGAGGGTGTCCGGCAGCCAGACCTCCCTGTCCCTCGTCCAGGAGGCCTCGATCTCCCTGGGGTAGAAGCCATCCAGGCGGCAGATGTGCGTCTCCATCCCATCCTCCGGCTTGCTGCTCATCGTCACCACTGGTGGCTCTGCAGAAATGGAACCCCCAGAATTAACTCTGAGCCCCTCCAGAGCCTGGAAGGTGAGTGGGAAATTTGGATGGGCAGGAAAGTCTCCCACTACTTCCCACTCCACTCCTCCAGCGTCTCCAAGAGTTTTAGGAAATTGAGGGTGCAAGGAAATTCCTCTCTGGCTGCTTTGAACTCTGAGTGATTTTGGGTTGCTCCCTTTAGGGGAGGGAAATTGGAGAGAGATAGAGAGATGGAGATAGAGATATAGCTAGAGAGACAGAGAGAGAAAGAGAGAGAGAGAGAGAGAGAGAGAGAGGGAGGGAGGGAGATAGAAAGAGAGAGAGAGAAAGAGAGGGAGGGAGGGAGATAGAAAGAGAGAGAGAGAGAGGGAGGGAGGGAGGGAGGGAGAGAGAGAGAGGGGGGGAGGGAGGGAGGGAGGGAGGGAGAGAGAGAGAGAGAGAGAGATGAAGGAAAGCTACCTGATATCAACCTAAGCAAGTTGTGCTTCCTTTTTCTGGTTATTTGGCTATAACTTTTCATAGAATACAGTACAGATAATTGAACAAACCTTGTTGCATTACATTCTTGATTATCTTTCCATTGATATATAATTTTATGGTACTACTCCAAAAAAAAGTGGTATTATTAGCCATCAAACCTCAAAATACACTTTTCCCAAAAGCTTTCCACAATTTTGCTCACTACTGTAATGGGGGGAAATTAAGGGAGCCCCTCACACTAATGGGGATTTCACCGAAGAAACCCAAATGCCCTTGTTGCCTCACTGTGGGCAATGAAAAGGACACCCCCAAGTGCTTCTCCTGCCTGATCCACCCAGACACCCACCAGGCAGAGGCTACGGTACCTGGTCCATGGAATGGGGGCCTGGCAAGGGGAACCAATCAGGGCTTCCCGCGTCAGGGGGAGGGGCTGGAAGGGGAGGGGGAGGATTCCCTCCTGGGCAGCCAGACGGCAGACCAGGAACCCAAAGGGGTTGAATGTGGACAAGAAATCCAGCCATAAAGGAGGAAAGTCCAGCCTGGATCCAGAGGCTCACCTGTCCTCAGCAGCGTCTCCTTCCCGTAGGGCAGGTACTTCTTTATCCAGTCAATGCATTCCTCCTCCAGGTAGGACTTAAACCTTTGATTGTATCCTGGAATAGCGTCCCATTTCCTCTGGGTGATCTGGGCCTGGGGGACGGGAGCCACCCAGGTGAGGGTCTCCTTGTCGAAGGTGATGAAGGTCCTCCCATCATAGCCAAACTGCATAAACCCTCCTTTGCTCTCTTCTCCCTGCAGCTCACAGCCATACATCCACTGCCATGTGTGAAGGCCTGAAATAGAAACAAGATGATGGTTTCAGGAGTCCTCAAAATAGGCACAGACCCCCTTCCCTGCAGGGATTTTGACACAGGCACTGACACCCCCCTTTCCTCCCTAGCATTCAAGGGAAAGAAAGCCCCCATCCCTTCCTGCCCTTCTCCCCTCCCTCGACCTGCCTCCCTCCATTCCCCCCCCCCAGGATGGAGCCCCTGAACCTCCCCAGGAAAAGGGAAGCTGGAAAAGCCAGCGGAGGATCCCGAGGGAGACCGAGAAAAGGAGCAGCAGAAACGGACTGACAGAGCCTCCTCCATCTTTCCTTCTGCAGTTCCTCTCTTGGGGAGACTCTTGGGGGGAAAGGAAGGGATCCCACAGAGGGAACATTTGCATGAATCTGCAGTTCCAAAGAGGGACTGAGAATCTCCTGGCCTCAGAGAGGATCTGGTGGATCTGCAAAGAAGCTTGCAAGGATCCCCGTGACCATAAATCTTGATCTATGTTCACAAATATCACCAGGTCACAAGGGCTGGTTCCCATCTTGGGCTAACCAGAAACAAACCATGGCTTTGTACATTGTGGGAATGAAGCCCTGAAGGGCCACAGAGAAATATTTTCCTCAGCAACAGCAGCAAGTGGCCCAATCTGATCTGCACCCCCAAAGGGTTGTTGACCTTTGAAATGAAGTTTGAAGTTTACAGTCTTTGCAAAGAGTCCTGGAGAAAATATTTTGACTTTAAGTGACCAGATTCTGGGATTTAAAAGAAAACGGAAGGTTTGAAAAAAAAAACCAAAAGTAAATGTAGAAATGTTTCTACTTCTGCTTGGGCTTGAGAGTGAGGAAGGATGCCAGAAACTCTCAAATCTGAGGGAAAATCACTTGTAAGTACAGTTGAACTAAACTGAGCGGTCCTTTCCCTCCCTTTCCACTCCCATGAGTGATCGGGTGAGGGGATCCTTTCTCTAAAGCTTCTGCTCAGCCTGAGACCTTCCCTTTGGAGGGAGAGGGAGATCCTCCTGAGCTGAGTCTGATCCTGCCCTCCAGAGGAGATTCCCTGATCTGCCCAGTGGGGAAAAAAAAGATTCTGGATTTCTGCCCAAGAAGAATCTCCTGCCATTCACAGGAAGGCAGTGAAAATCTGGCTGCAGTTTTCACCTTCTGAGAACCAGCTCTGTCTTATTTCAGAAGCATCAAAAGCTAAGACAGAAACCGTCTTATTTCAGTTGAAGATGAAATCTATTTGTGTTCATTGCACGTTTGGCACAGAATTTAATATTTGTGCTGCAAAAAAAAAAGCACAGGGATCAGACTGAAAAGGCAAGTTTTTATTCTTAGTGTAAGAAGGCTGTTAATGCATCTCTACAGGTCTACGAAGGAAACAATTCTGCCCCATCTCTGAGCCTGGATGTTCAGGGGTTCCCCGAGGCCTGAAAAATAGTTCAAGGGTTCCTCCAGGGTCAGAAGGTTAAGAAAGGCTGCTTTAGGGAGGCTAAAATATATTTATATTTGTAATTGCTGTGAAGAATATCTGAAGTCACTTTTTATGTCCTTTTTCTTTGCTTTCTTCAACTTGTTTTCTTTTCTTATATAGTTTTTGATTTTTCTTTGATTTCTTTCTTTTATCTCCTTTACTTTAAATAACTTTCTACTAGTTTTTATCTTTTTGGTGAAAAGTTTTAATAAATATTATATAAAAAAAACAAAAATGCCACCAGTATGTCAGGGATCATTAAAATGGTTCTGAAAACACGGAGGCTAATGTCACAAAGCCTTTGCGTAAATCAAGGGTGGGACCACATCTGGAATATTGTGGGCAGTTCTGGTCACCAGACCTCCAAAAAGGGCAGGAGGGAGGTGGGGAAGGTCCAGAGGAGGCGACCCAGAGGATGGAGGGGTGGAAGCAGCCTCCCTTGGAGGAAAGGTTGGGACATTTGGGGCTGTTTGGCCTGGAAAGAGGCTCCCCTCCACTCTGGCCGCTCTCCTTCCCCCTTTCTCCACCAGGGGGAGCCCTCTGGGTCCAGCTCTGCTCCCCTGAGAGGCCAGCCGGGGGCCTGGAGGGATCTGGGGGGATCCTGGGGGATCAGGGGCAGAACAGGGAAATCTCTGGGGTGTCTGCCTGGGGGGGGGGGGATGGGGAAGGAAAGGGCAGAAGAAGGGGGGCTGCCCCTCCTTGGGATGAAAGGAGGGAAAATGGCTGATGTTTGTGGAGAAAGTTTACCTCAGCCCAAAGCAGCCTCTGGTGACACAGATATTTGCTTGCAATCTCTCCCCTAAATCAGGTTCCTTGAAGGTGAATCTTCTCCCCCAAAGATGGCAGAAAGGTGGGGGGGCTGCTGAAGAAGGCCTCCCCCCTCCAGGGCAGCCCCACCAAGAGGGCAGCGCAGGAGTCCAGCCGGAGGGACCAAGGATGGGAAGCCATCAGCGCTCTGAGCGACTCAGGAAGGGCCCCAAATGGGGGTTTCTTTCTTCTCTGTCCTTTTTCCCCTCAAGGTTGGGAGGATCCTGGAAGTGATCCTGTGCCCCCCCAGAGCCCCCCCATTTGGCCCCCTGGCCTCTCCTTCCACCTGGAGGATGAGAAGAAGCTCCAGCCACCTCCAAAAAGAGATGAAAGAGAGGGATCTAGTCAGCCCAGATGGATCTGCAGTTGATTCCTCATTTCTCTAACAGACAGAAAAACAGACAGAAAAACAAGGACCTGCTTCCCCCAGGATCTCCTTAGGATCCACCTGCTTCTTTTCCGGGAGGGTAGGGACCTGGGATCCCCTCCCTCCCCCACAGCAGGGGGTCCACCAAGCCCGGGACCCTCTGACTTTCATGGGGGGAGGGGAGATTTTGGTTTCTTTTAACTCAGTTTATATCCAGATCCTCATCCTATCAATATACAGGGAGAGAGAGGGAAAACTTTAAAAAAATATTTTTATTAACTGCAACTGGCAGAAAACATCAGCTATGGAGGCAATGACAAGTTATACTGATTTTAAAAAAAAGAATAAACATACTAAAAAGTTTTTTTTATAACATAGGGAGGCAGCCTTTCCCTTTGAAGGGACCCTATCCCTTTCTCCCCCCCTTTCTGTTCCTGGGGAGGGGATTATGGGGCAGAAGGAGCCACCCGACCCATCACTCACCTTCGCTCTGATTGTAGCGAAACCTCAGAGTCTCCAGGTTTCCTCTGAAATCCTCGTCCTGGCCACGTAATACCTGGGTGTATCTGTCCCAATATTGGGGGTCCTCCTTCCCCACTTTCTCCATCCAGGAGACTCGAGGCTGGAACTTCCTGCTATGGCTGTCATAATAAGTGAATAATTCATCATCCACGTAGCCCAGACACACAAAGTGGGGCTGCCCCTGACTGGGCTCCGAGATGGAGGTGTAGAAATACTTCATGGAGTGCGAAGAGGCACCTGGAAGGGACCCAGAGGGGCAGAGTTAGGGGGCTCCAGTCAAGGACCCTCATCCTATGGAGGCTCCAATCTGAAGCTCTGGGGGGAAAGAAGAAGAAGAAGAAGGAGAAGGAGAAGAAGAAGAAGAAGAAGGAAGAGGAGGAGGAGGAAGAGGAAGAAGAAGAGGAAGAAGAAGAAGAAGAGGAGGGGGAAGAAGAAGAGGAGGAGGAGGAGTGCTGGGGGGGGAGGAGAAAGGGGAAAGGAAGGGGGAGAGGATGGAAGGGGAGGCAGGAGGTGGAAGGAGGGAGCGACTGAGAGGGAAAGAAGCAGTTTCTGGAGGGCCTGAAGGGTTGGAGGGCAGGGAAGGTGGGGTGAGAGAGAGGAGGGGAAGGTCGGGTCCCCCAAACTTTACCTGCCCCAATTGCACTCTCCCCCCTTCCAGCAAGGCCTTCCACAAAGCTTGGGAGGGGGTTGATCATGGCTACCCAACTCTTCACATGATCAATGACTCTCAACAGAAAGGCCTAAATTAGAGACTCAGCCACTTGGACTTCAACTCCCAGAATTCCCCTCACCCGGAAGAAACCCATGGGGCCTCTCCACCCTGGCCCCACCCACTGCCCCCACTGAGCCTGCTTGGGAGTTCAACTCTCATGTTTGGGGGGGGCTCTCAGCTGGGGTCCTCTCCCCAAACTCAGCCTCTGTATGGAGGGTCCTGTCACTTTTAAAGCCCCTCTAGGGAACCAAAGATAAACATACAACATATTTCAGTTTCCTTCATGCAAACTCCCAACTGAGGAGCATCAAAGTTTCTTCAGCCCTTCCTTGGATTGGAGGACAGACTAAAGTCACAAGACATAAACTATGCTAAACTTGACTAAAAATGACAAAAGAAAATCACATTAAATCATTGTTTAGTTTTCATTTGTCAAAACACAAACACGGAAGAGACTCTGAGGCTGCCCAGTGAAGAGAAGAACATCAGCTTGTAAGTGGATTAAAGGAATTAAAAGAAAGTAAAATGAATAAAAGGCTGCTGGGAAATCGATTCAGCTGATGGAAACCCCCAAGGCCCCTTCTGGGTCTCCGTTCTGAAAGCTCCTCAGGTCAGAAATTCTTCCGGGGCACCAAAGAGCTTAAAGATCATTTTCAGGATCCTTCACGGGATTTATTTGGGCAGAACCTGGGTCTGCATGGGAAAGGGCAGCACCTCCAAAGCCCCCCAGAGAAATAAATACTGGCAGTACTCAACTTACGACCATAATTAAGCCCACATTTTTGCTGCTAAGTGAGACATTTGTTAAGTGAATTTTGCTCCATTTTACAATTTTGTTTTGTCACAGTTGTTAAGTGAATCGTTGCAGTTGTTAAATTAATAACCCCGTTGTTAAGTGACTCTGGCTTCTCCATTGACTTTGCTTGTCAGAAGGTCACAAAATGGGATCACTGCAACTATCCTAAATATGAACCAGTGGCCAAGCATCCAAATCCTGGTCACGTGACCATGAAGATGCTAAAATGGTCATAAGTGTGAAAAATGGTGATAAGTCACTTTTTTCAATAATGTTGTAACTTTGAACGGTTACTAAATGGACTGTTGTTAAGTCGAGGACTACCTGTAGTCCCACTGCCCAGTCCCTCCAGTATGGTCTCCCAGTCCTTCCCAGTCTCCCAAGGCAAAGGCCTCGGCCTCCTTCTTCCTACTCCTCCCCACAATCCCAGCGGCTTCTCAGAGCTTTTGGGGAGAGGGATCCCCAGATCCACTTCCTGCTCTGGGGAGATTTCAAATGGATCAGAGCTTTTCTCCAACAGAAGGAGGGGGGATCGGACCCTCCGTGATCCAGAACCCACTTCTTCCCCTCGTGGGGCTGAGCAGTGAGGGAGTCTGAAGTCTGCCTGAGAGGAGAAACGTGTGAACGTAACGCAGGTTGGGCGTCCTCACAATCACGAATCCTCCTCAGGTCAGGAAGGGCCGGTCAGTCTGGGCCTGTCTGTGTCCAAGCAAGGCCTTCATTCCAGGCTCTCCACCCAGAGGGGCTTCTCTCCTCCGGCCTCCAGCCCAGCCTCTCTGACCCTTCAGATCCTGAGAGTTTGGGAAATGCCTTTGGAAAAGCTGCTGCATTGAGAGTTTCTCTGAGGAGCAACTGGGGACACCCCAAGACCTCCCATCTGGTTACTGAGGAATAAGAGTAAACTTTAAATATTTCTGATTCTGCAAATTCTCCCCTGCTGGGGGCTCCTGAAATGGGAGGAGGAGGATTTTGGGTGGAAAAATTCCTGCCTGTCCTAGAAAACAGCTCTGGGGATATTGGGTTTGGGACGGGGTGGGGGTGGGGATCCAGTGGAAAGTGACAATCAATCAATCAATCAATCAATCAGGGGGGATCTTTGGGAAGACAATCCAAGGAGGGCTTCTTCTCTCCAGACTCTTCTCCTGCTGCATTCCCAGGACAGCCTTAACCCGATCCCTCCAGGGCTCCAGCCTCCTTGTCTGCCAATACGCGGAAGCGAGTCGAGAACCGAGCCGGCTCCTCCCAGCACCAGAAGCCACAAAGAGCCACCCAGCCCCGCCAAAGGCAGGAAAGAGGAGCCGGGCGGAGGGGTTCTGCGAAGGCAGCCAGGGAGTTTGGGAACTGACCTGATCACGTGTAAACGCCGCTTTCCCACAACCTCCACTTTGGGGGAGGGAAAGAACTGCGCTCGGGGGCGCCCAGGTAGACTTGACTGACCTCTGGAGGGCCCCCCCCCTTGTCCCGTTCCCAGAGGGGCTCTCCGGGGGGGGGAGAGAGAGGTCCCTTCTGAGAGGGGCCAGAGGGAGAGCGGACTAGAGAGGGGACCGAATCGGGATTCTCTTCCTGGGAATAATCTTTGGGGGAGGCGAAAGACAGAGAGATTCCCTGGATGGATCCCCACTAGGAAATAAAGGGACTCACCGAGGCAGCTCTCCCACAGGGCGACTCCCACCAACACCAGGAGCGGCAGAGAGCGGAGCGCCATCCTGGCCGCGATCCTCCAACTGCGATCCGCTCTCCAGAAGTCGCAGGCAGAGAAAGACGCGCTCCGGGTGATCAACAACGCAACAAACCAGAGCAGAAGCGGGTGATTGGCCAAGCTCAGCCAGTAGAAAAAAGGTACTCCCGTGTCGTCATTGTTGCTAGGCAGACGTCCAGGCGCAACCGGCTGGACAGGCGGGAAAAGGAAAGCGAAAGTCCCGTCAGGAAATCCCCTTCCAGCCATTCCGCCTCTTGGGGGGAGGGACAGAAATGGGGGGGGGGCTGGAAAAGCGGGAGGGTTATCTGGGCCTGGGGGGAGGGGCGCAGGCGAGGGGGAGGGGAGACCCCGCAGAGACCCTGGCAGTGGAGGGGGGGGGGGAAAACAGGTGGAGCTGCCAAAAAAGCCAGTGCAGTTCTGAGCTGCGTCAACCGAGGGGCAACATCAAGAGAACGCGAGAAATGAGAATGTCGGTTTATCCTGCACTAGTGAGGCCACCCTTGGAATGCCGGGTCCGCTTCTGGTCCCCACGACTCAAAAAAGATGCTGGGAGCCCAGAAAGAGTCAGAGAGGAGCAACAAAGGCGATAAAGGAGGGTTAAAGGGTATGACGAACCGCTGGGAGAGCAAGGTATGCCAAGCCAATGGCACAGAATAATTTGGGTGTGTGATTGTCTGTCTGTGTGTGGTTGTGTAATAATAACTGCCTGTCTTTACTTGAGGGGCTGTCCCAGAGAAGAGGGGAGGGACTTCTTCCCCAAAGCCCCAGAGGGCAGGAGGGGAAATAAGGGGTGGGGGCTTGTTAAAGAGGGACCCAACCGAGAAGGAGAAATTTTCTAACAGTGAGAACAATTAATCAGTGGAATAATTTTCATCCTGGAATTGTGAGTGCTCCATCGCTGGAAGGTTTCAAAAACAGACTGGAGAACTGTTAGACTGGGATGGTATTAAATTTCCTGCCTGGATCCGAGGGTTGGACTAGAAGACCTCTGAGGTCCTTTCCAGTCCTGTGATTCTGTGTTTAGGTCATGACATCCCAAGTGATCTTCGCTCTGGAGAAAAACGCTCAAAGGCTCTCGTGGCATCTTCAAGGGAAAGATTTGTCTTTCTAGGGGAAAATGTCAGAGGTGTTTTCTTCTCTGGGGAAGCCACGAATCTTTAGGAAGCTTCAAAGTCTTTGGTTTTCCCCACAATAGACGTAAGATGGCTGCTCTCTCCCTTGGCGCTTCTTCTGGGGAATCCTTGGACTGAAAGAATACATCCTGGTTTCTTATTAGGATTGAACAAATTCAGCTGATTTCACATTTCCTATAATGAACAAAGTATGAGAAAAATTCAACGGTCTTTTCAAGGCTTGAATCATCTGCTTTCTTCTGCAGTCATCTTTCCTCTGAGCATGTATAGAGTGGAAATTTGGGCCCGTCTGTGGAAAAGAGGAGGGGATAACCTGATAGCTCAAGAACATAAAATATAAAACATAACAGAATATAAAATTTTGAAAATCTTTCAAATGGGAGAGTCTCAGCAAGGCGGGCCCTAAGAATTTCCGGAAACGCGGATGAGCTGGAGATTGGCGCCCCCTGCTGGTTGGCGGCTTTGCAGTGTCTCCTCTCAATTAGCAAAGTATCAATTCCTGTTTAAGCACCAAACCAGCCAGAAGTTAATCGAACTCTGTAGAATCAAGCCAACAATAGAACTGATTAAATTATTTCCCAGACTCATCTTTACTTTGTGGGCTTCCTTGCGAGACAAGTTGCATTTGATTACCAGTTTGCTTCTGGGTCCACTTAAAGGTGCTGTTTTTGACCTTTAAAGCCCTTTGTGGAATGAGACCCCCCTCTTCCCAATTACTTCCGCCCACCCCACCAGCTCTAGCAGAAGAGGTATGTTGTGGGTCTTGTCTGTTAAGGAGTAACATCTAGTGGGACCCGGGAGATGATCCTTTTCTGCAGTGACCTCCATCCTTGATATCCTTCCAGACATCTCTTAAAATATGGTTGGGTGAATAGACTTGGGGATCTCAAGGAACTGGTGAACTAGCAATGGGGCTGCATTCCTTATCACATCGAATCCTTTCTTCTTTCAATTAATAATGCTTCATTAAAAATTGCACAATCTTTTTGAAATATTAAAATAAGATTCATGTTTTAGCAGAGAAGATTCTCAAAATGAATATAAAAATTAAACTAGAGACATTTCTTTTAGGCTGAATGGAGAAAGAACTTGAAAAAAAATTTTTTTGTTGTTATCCATGTTCACAGCAGTGAGAATGGCCAGATCAAGTACTTTAGTCAAAGAAAAGAATACATCCGACTTTATTTCTACTTGGAAACTGCTTCTCAATTTTGTGGTTGAGGTAGAAAAATATGATACATTGACTTTGGGTTTTGTTGATTAGAAAAAGTTTCTACTCATAGAAATGGCTAGTGCATATTAAATATGCAAAAGTAAAAAAGTCGAGGCTGTAATATTTTTATTCAACTTTGTTGAAAAGAACACACAATTTTATTAACTGAGAGGTGATAAAGAAAGAACTGGCATTATTTTCATAGCCTGGGAGGGAATATTATATCCCGCTCCACATTTATCTTTTCAGCTAAGAAGCCACCAAGTGCTTCCACTTTCCTTCCAATTTCCAAAGACCACCGCTGATTAATAAGGGATGTAGTTGATTTTAAGATTATATTTTTCTTTTTTCTGAATTTTCACTTTGGAAGCAATGTAAACAGAGAACAATGGGAATGTGACAGGACTCAACATGCTGGATGTCCTTCTCCTTCCTGAAGTAGATGAGCTGCTGAAGCTGCACAATGCTTTCACGAACTGCTGACAACAGGCTGCAACATGTGCAACTTTGTGTTGCTCCTGGAGGCACTGAGGGACTGGCGATTTGTCAATTTCAGATGGGGGGGGGGAAGAAGCATCTGCCATGTTGAGTTGGATCCCATTGCCGATCATCCATCTGCCATTTTAAATAGACTCTAGACCAGACATGTCAAACATAAAACCGGGGGGCCAGATGCGGCCCGCAAAGTGGTTTCATGTGGCCCGCGAAGCCATCCTGGAAAGAGTGAGGGAACGGCCCCCTCTGCCTTGGCCTTGGCCCAGGCCAGCTGGGAGCCAATGTACAATTTTGTGGTGGCCATCTATGCTGAAACGCATTCAGTCTTAGCTCCATAAGCCCCCCCCCCAATGGCCTGAGAAGAACAGTGAGGCTCCTCCAGTGGACCATGCCTTGGCACTTGCCCCGGTCCCACCTCCTTCTGCCAGAGACCCTCAGATCTGTCCCACTCCTGCCCAGGCCCCCACAGGCACCCTTGACACAAACAATGTAGAGCTGGCCACGCCCACCCAGTAGGCCACACCCACTCCATCGACGGTCACCCAGTAGGCTACACCCACCCTGGCCACACCCACCCGGCCCCGAGGGCAACCGCAATGCTGATGCGGCCCTCAATGAAATTGAGTTTGACACCCCTACTCTAGGTAACCTTCCGCCATTTTAGGGACTGCAGGCAGCCCATTTTGTAACTGTGTGTCGTTTGTCAAAGAGAGGCTCTTTATTCAGGTACTGCTGTTGCCTCCCAGCTCAGACACCCCGACTTTGGCCTGAAGCTGGTAAGAACTTGAGACCTGAATTCGAGAGAGGCGCTTTTCCCTTTGCAAAGGGGCTTCTTTGCCCCCCCAAAATAGGAAACACCCAGTAATTCAGGCAAAGCAAAAAGTCTCCATTAAGGGCTGTGTGTGTGAAGGAGCAATCTGCCCAGAAAGTTGACACCACCTGTGCTATTTCTGTCCGGTCTCTCCAAGGCCTCTCCCTGGGGACAGCACAGCAAAGTTGCCTGGAATAGCTGTGCGGTGAAACAACTGAGGGTGTGGGGAAAGAAGGTGCGTATTTTTGTGTGGAAGTAAAGCAGTTAGAAAGGGAGTTTTTTCTCTAACCCTCACACGGAGGAATACAGGTGGGAGTAGCTGTGGAAAAGCTTGAGGACTCTGTCTGTGTGTGTGTCTGTGTGTGTAAGTGTTGTCAAGAGAACTGTGTTGTTGTTAGCTCTTACAGAATCACTGAGTTGGAAGGGGCTTTGGAGGTCTTCTAGACCAGAGGTTCCCAAACCCCTGTCCGTGACTGGCACTGGGCAGTGGCATGCCAGAAACCAGGCTGCAGAAACAAGCGAAACCCCATCCGGGGAATGCAAGCGGCACACAAAACAACACCTTCTCCGGTCCGTGGAAAAACCTCTCCCCACAAAACTGGTTCCTGGTGCCCAAAAGGTTGGGGGCCGCTGTTCTAGACAGCCCCCTGTTCGGGCAGAAAACCCTACACCATTTCTTTGGTGTCTTGAGTCCACCAAATTGGGTCTATACCAGTGGTTCTCAATGTTTGTGTGACGGCGACCCCCGTCACACAAGCGTTCTGCACATGCGCGGTGCCGCGCACATGGGGGTGGCCCCCCATGCACGGCGTGCATGCACGGCGCACATGCGCGGCAGCGCCCCCATGGCGGCGCACGTGCACGGCGCCGCCCCCATGGCGGATCGCTGCCTTTGGCGACCCCCGAAAAATGGTCGATCGACCCCAAATGGGGTCGCGACCCATAGGATGAGAACCGCTGGTCTATACTGTAGTTAAAAGAACCTGTGACATGGGCCCAGATCTTTTTACCGGTTACAGAAACAAATACATTCCATTGGTATATTTTGTGATAGGTCAAAAAGCAAGAGATCAAAGAATAAAAGAGATGGATTAAATGCGAAGCTTGAACAATAGGAAACAACGATTCTAGCTGGCATTCCACAAGTAGCAAACTCACGGCCTATAAACTCCCTCTCCCAGATAAATTTTTATATTGCTTAACACTTGCAAGTGTATCCAAGGTCTTCCAGAAGGTACTTTCTGTTGTGTAGTTGCTGAGAAAGCAAGTTCTCCCATACCAAAAGAAACGGCACGCTTCCTTAAAGTTAAAAAAAGAGAACCAGCCTCCCTTGTTAAAAGTGCAAATATCACCTTTTAAAAGGCTAACAATAAAGCTTAAAATCCCAGCCAGCCCTGGCTGTGGTTAGTTTTAATCCTATAGTATTAATGTTCAGGTCGCAGAGTTAGAAATGTCCCCAGGAATGTCAACCAAAGTGAAGCCTTGCCTTCGAAGTGTGTTTGTGTGTTTTAAAGAAGAGCATACAAAAGAGTTGTTTAGTTGGTCCAAGGTCCGGTTCAAGGTCATCAGCAGGTCCAAGGTTCAAGAATGAATTTCACATCCACCTGAGCTAAACCCTGTTTCCAGCAGAGAGAAGGAAGGCATCCCAGTCTCTTATAGAAGCTGCAGCCAACTGTCACTCATCGGGAGGTTTACCCTGTTGCTAGGCAATGACCAGTAGGACCCCTCTTCTGCCCTCCTTTTGACTGGCATCTTTTAGTTTCACTTCAGACTGGGCTGTTTGCGGTATCCTCTCTCTCCCTGGGGGCATCTGCCATGAGACCGGAGGGGTGGTGGTGACCCTCCCCTCCTTGAAATAAGGCCATCTTCTCAGGCCTCGGAAGTGGCCCCTACATTTTGGAAGACCCTCCAGCAGATCCCCCTCCTCCTCTCAGCCTCCCGGAAGGCCATCAAAACTTGGCTCTGTGCCCAGGCACTGAGTTCCAGGTGAGATGAACTTCTGGCTATCCTTGGGGCTCATTTTCTTTTGTTGATGTTTTTATTGTGTCATTTTATTTTATTTTTGCTGATGTTTTTATTGTGTCAGCCCAGGCCGCTTGTGTGAGCTGGCCAGTCAGAGGGGTCTAATAAATAAACACATTTCTAAAACTTTTGAATGAGTAGAAGACGCTCATTTTGACATCTCACAAAATGCTTTTAAAGCAGACGTGTCAATGTTTTCGCTGGCCTGGGCAGCGTTGAGCGAAAAGGAATTGTCTTGGGTCCCGTATAAAATATATCATATAGTTAATGTATATAAATAACAAACTTCCCTTTAAATATATTTTTATTATAATATCAAAAGTGTCGTGAGGTCACATTACTGGCTGTCCAGGGCTGAATGTAGTCTATGAGCCATGAATTGAGTCCACTTTTTAGGCTCTCAAAGATGGCAGCTCCTGAAGGCATCCGGGAAGCCCAAAAGGAATTGGGGGGGGGGAATCCCACTGCTTTCCACTCCTCCTCATCCAGAAAGCATCCACTATAATATCTCAGGGGCTGCCGCAAAGAAGAGGGAGTCAAGCTATTCTCCAAGGCGCCTGATGGCAGGACAAGAAGCAACGGATGGAAACTGATCCAGGAGAGAAGCAACCTGGAACTAAGGAGAAACTTCCTGACAGTTAGAACAATTAACCAGTGGAACAACCTGCCTCCAGAAGTGGTGAATGCTCCAACACTGGAAGTTTTTTAGAAGATACCATTTGTCCTAAATGGTATAGGGTTTTCTGCCTGAGCAGGGGGTTGGACTAGATGACCTCCAAGGTCCCTTCCAACTTTATTATTATTATTATCATCATCATCATCATCATCAACTGAGGCTCTCCCCCCTCTTGGGCCGGGGCATCCTGCTGGGCCCCTGAAGAGCCCGAGAGGACCTCTCAGAGGCAAGAGAAGCTGCCCTCCTGCAAGGGGACCAGGAGGGCTCCAGACGGTCCCTGAGCTCCCGTCTCCCAAAGGGCCCCTGGAGGAGGCCCAGAGACCAGCCACTCGGCCCTCAGCCTGAGGCAAAGGTGGATCTGAGGGAAAAACTGCCTCTGTTGCTGCCCCCACTGAGCCAAGACCAAGCGTCCATTTTGCGGAAGGTCAGCTGGTGATGCTGGAGAAAGATCCGGACCCAGGAGCAAAATGGCTGCCTCCTCCCCAAGGAGCATATAGGAGTCCCCTCCCCCCAGGTCTTGCTCCTTCCAGGTTTTGCCTTGGTTCCTCCCCTTCCTCCCACTCAAAATGAAATTGGTCTTTCTGAGCAAAATGAGAGTAAAATCCCTCCTATTTCCAATCTCTTCAAACAGGCAGCAACTCAGGTAAGAGGAAAACAAAACCATTTATTTTCAGCAAACAACTTTGACAAACTTACAATATAAGTGCAAATTATTAAAGGAGCCAGCAGCCCGGCTGTGGAATGGATCTCATGCTCTATTTTTCTAAAGCATGAAAATCCATAAATGACAATCTATAAAAAAAAATCAGTCTGAATGTTTCACTTGTTATACTGATTATCTGTCAAACTTTGAATGATCAAATATATGATCAATTAACTGTGCAATAATCAATTAAAAAATGCATCAACGATTTTAGTGACAAAAATCTCAGAATGCACACTTCTTCTTTTACTAATAGTTTCCTCGAAGATAACATTTAAATTTATAAAACTAAGGAAAAAAAGAAAGAAAAAGAAACCCCCATCTTTATCCCCAACAAGTATAATGAAAATTAACAACTTATAAATCTCTCTTAAAATAAAACCAAGAAACTGTTCATCCTCTCCCTCACCCCATTCCCTATAAACCCATCTCTGAAACCTCATCTCTAACCTCTAATCTCAATCCATTAAGATTAACCAGCAAAAGCCCGTGAAGGGTTATACAAAATACTTATTAAAACCCATTATCTACAAAAGCATTTAAAATCGTTTGATTCCACAATTAGTATCATACCGTCTTTTTCCGTCTCTAAGACGTACCCGTGTATAAGACGCTCTCCACGCCGATCAATCCACAAGTTCGGCCGGCAGAAGATCTTGCCCCCTCCCACTAGTGGGAAGCCCACAGGGGCTTTACACCTGCACCAGGCGGCATGGCAACCCACACAGGCACGACCTGGGCTGCGGAGGTTACCATTATTTTTCCGTGTATAAGACGCACCTGGTTTCTGAAGAGGGTGTTTGCAGGAAAAAAATAGAGTCTTATACACAGAAAAATACGGTATATTCTTTTCTCCTCCATTCCTCAATCATAATAAAGAAAGGTTACTGATTCTGTGATAAAAGCCGTGATGAAAGACCCCAAATATATCCTGATTCCAGAATGCTGGAAGGCCCTGAAGGGATCCTCCTGTCTAATCCAGAAGAAGGTTGATCCTCAATTCTTTCCTCCCTCCTAAGGCTGGGAGTGTCCATCGTGCTGCAAAGAAGAGAGGAAGAAGCATCCAAGAGTTCGTTATATCCAGACAGTCGGAGCCTGAGAGGTGCCAGAGGATAAGAGTTGGGGGGCAGGCAGACCCCTCCCCAGAGCCCTCATGCCTCTCCCCCAAATTCCTTCCCTTCCAGTGTTTGAGATGAATAGGAGAGAGAAGAGGGATTTCCCAAAATATCTCCACCATCAATTGGGGTCCTTGGACCTGAAGGCCTTCATCTCCCTCCCTCCCTCTCCCCCCATTCAGCCCCCACCAGTCTACTCACCTGCCAGGGGGCTGCTAAGCGGTCTGGTTGCTCCCTGCATGGGAGAGAAAGACACAGAGTGAATCTATTCCTTGCCCTGTCAGGAGGACAAATCTCTCTCTTCACCATTCAGCCTCTGCAGCTTCACAAAACTCTCAGAGGAGATCAGGCTTTTTATTCATTTACTGTATTATTAACCTTCTGTGTCACCCATCTCTCTCCAAGGTGACTCTAGGCAGCTTCCAGTAAAATTCAATAAAATGCCATGTAGAACATTTAGAACAATAAACTGAAAGACCAGATTCCCCCACCAGATCACGTTGCCATTGCTCTGACAAGAAGATCCTATCCGATGTGTGACCGCTGTCCTGAGCCAGGCCCAAGATGGGCCCAAGATCAGGCGATCCATCATGTCAGTCTCTCTATCTGTTTATCTGTCTATCATCTCTTTATCTATCTAATATTAAACTTCTATGACACCATCTCGTCAAGGGGACTCTAGACAGCTTACAATAAAATTCAATAAAAAGCTATGTAGAATATTTAAAACAATAAAAACCAGATCCCCCCACCAGATCACATTTCCGTTGCTCCAAGAAGATCCTATCTGGGGTGTGACCGCTGTCGTGAGCCAGGCCCTAGATGGTCTGGGAGAGGCCCATGGCAGCCGTGAACTCCTGGGCCCCTTCTGAGGCCAAACCCGGGGAGGGCAGATTGACATCTCCCAGGACCAGGAGCCTGGGGAACTCCCTGCCAACACTAAGATAGCCCCCAGCAGCTGAGGGGTGGGGTGGCCATGCAGCAGGGAGGCTGGTACAGCAGCCACAAGCCCAACTGATCCCATGAGCGCAGATTCAGAAACGGAGTCACAACCAGAAACGTGGGGATCAAGGCCCCCGAGTGCCCAGAGAAATTCTCACATTGCCCCCCCACCTGCTCTGCCCCGGGGGGGCAATGTGAGTTGGGGCCAAATCCTAAACCCCAATCTCTGAGAGGAGGAACACCCCCTCCACTTCCAGAATCAGCCAGGTCTCAGCTATGCCAGCAGAAGAGTCTCTAACCACTGGGGATCATGGGATCGCCGGTGATTCCCCCATTTCCCACCAAGGAATTGAGGGCTCTCTCTCCTCCAAAGGGGGCCAGGCTCCACCAGGCAGACTCTGCGCTGCCTTCCCTGCCTGAATCCCACAGGGAGAGTTTCCCTTCTCCGCCTCAGGAACAAACCAGGGCAAGGAAAGTGCATTTTGTGACCCCCCCCCCAAAGCCGGCTTTCATGCCTAAGGTGGGACTAGAACTCACCGTCTCCCAGTAAGTCTCCCTTGGTGCCCTCACCACTAAACCAAACTATTTTAATTATTTCACCAGAACCAGACACAGAGGGAACACAGGAAGAATGAATTAATGGGGGGAGGAGGGGAGGCTTTTAAAAACTGGGGGCCTCTCCCTCTTTCCCTCTCCCCCCACCCACCCAAAGTCTGGCAAAGGGACAGAATGGCTGAAGCAGCAGCAGCAGCAGCTCCCTCCGACTCACCCTGGCTGGATCTGCTGGATCCTTCCTCACTTGCTGGAAAAGAAAGAAAGAAAAAGAGAGTGAGGAAGTTCACTCTGTTGGCTGATAGGTGGAGAAACTCAGCTCTTTCTGACTCCAGCTCCCTCCCTCTCTCGCACACACACACAATCAAAGACAAACAAATACCTGGAGAGAGTTTGAACCAGACTGCTTGGGCTAAAAGGCCCAGGAAAGAATTCCTAAAATTTATATGTACATCAACACAGAGCAAAAGTTCAGCAATTCTTGAGCCCGAGAGCAAAGCTGATCTAAAAAGATACACATGGCTCCAAAGTCTCTTTTTCTAACCAGTTCCTACTCATCCTTGTAATGGGAGATCGAGATCCAGTTGGCATCCCCCAAAGCTCCTTTTCTCTCAAAATGCCCCCTTTTGATCCCTAATTTGATGCAGCTTCTGACTCTCATTTCACCGAACCTTTCCTTTCCGCCCACTTGGGAAACAGAGCAGCTTCTCAGCCGGAGGGACCTTCCACCAGCTGGGTCTTCTCCCCTTCTTGAGGGTTCCTTGTCCCAGATGTTTCTCCTTGAGGACCCCACTTCCAAGAACAGCCTGGCTGGGATGAAAAGGGGGTCCATCTTCCCCAGACTGGTTCTTAGGAGGAAGAGAGCATGCACGTGTGCGCATACACACACAAACACACACACACACAAACACACAGACATTCCTCAACTGATCATGCCTCTGGTCTCTGCTCTAAGTTGGAGATTACATGTAGAGAGGACAAGTCACTCACTTGCTGCTTTTTTGTAGTCATCTTGACGTCTTTCTGCAAAGACAAAAATCAGTGAAAGGTCAAAAGAATCCACCAGAGACCATCCAATCTTTCCCTCTTGGGAGGAATACCTTCAGGAGATATTTCGCAGTCACTTTGCCTCATTAATAAAGACAGAAAGATTTTCAAAAACCAAAAGGATGTCCTGATTTGGCCCAAGAGAGACCTGCTGCCTCCAAGATGGAGGGAGGGAAAGGGGGGAAACAGCAGCAGCTTGGAGGGGAGGAAGATTTTCATGGAAATCCTTCTCTGCTGCTCTTTGACCAAAGACTTTGAAAGGGATGGAACTGGGATGCCTCTTCCCAACTCAGAAGAAGGCGGGACTGTCCCAACCTCAGACTCAGCCAAGTCAAGACTGGAGTCCCAGCAAGAGGCCGAGATCTCAGAGGCTCCCCAAGGGCTGGGAAAGCAGGACAGGAGGAAGCCCTGAAGAAGCTCCCCAAAGGGAGAGACTTGGGAGGAACCTCCCCATCTTCCTTCCATCACCCAGAAAAGGAGACTTACTGAAGAATACATAGATCCCAACAACAATCACACCCAGCAGGACAAGGCCAGCCACAACGCAGCCGATGATGATCCCCAGGCTGGATTTTGATTCTGAATTGGGAGAAAAAGCAGATAATTGAAGGAGAACCCCAATATCCCAATTAGGGGAAGAGACCTAAAATAGCAAAAGCTGAAATTCTCAAAATTAAAAACTTCTATGGGTTCCTCTTCCTGTCCCTCTAAGGGAAGCACGAAGGCTCCTTGCTAACCACCCTTAGGGGACGTGTCCCCCTCATGCTGCCTCCTTCTCTCCCCAGCCCAGCATGAAGGCAGCTGAATTCATCCTCAGCTTTTCCACTCCAAAGCAGCCCTTTGCCACCTTGCGACTCTCAGCAGCTTACAAAACAAAAACGTCACCAACACAATATTGGTGAACAATACAATAACATTTGTTGAACAACAGTTTTTTGTTCTGTTTAGAGGCTGCCCCAGTTTGTCATAATTTGAGCAGCTCTATACGTTATGTTTTTTCTTCAGTTTGAATGTTTACATTTTATTATTTAAAGTAAAAGAATTCATATCACCTAGCCTTTTTTAAAATATACACTTTCATTTCCTTGTCCAGTCCAGAAATAGCAAAAAATTATATTTTGTCCTTCTAGGACTTCAGCATGAAAAATGGAATATGGTGACATTCAACTTCTGGACAGTCCCAGAAATGGCAGAAACAGAAGAACAGATTTTGAAGGGACCTTGGAGGTCTTCTAGCTCAACCCCCTGTTCAAGCCTTCCAGACAAGTGGCTCTCCAGTCTCTTCTTAGATGCCTCCAGTGATGGAGCCCCCACAACTTCTGAAGGCAAATTATTCTACTGAAGGTTAATTGTTCTCACTGTCAGGAAATTTCTCCTTAGTTCAAATTTGCTTCTTTCCTTGATTAGTTTCCATCCGTTGCTTTTTGTCTTGCCTTCAGGTGCTTTGGAGAATAACTTGACTCCCTCTTTGTCGAGGCAACCCCTGAGATATTGGGGAGAGTGCTATCATATCACCCCTAGTCCTTCTTTTCATTAGACCAGAATACCCAGTTTCTACAATTGTTCTTCATATGTTTAGTCTCCAGTCCCCTGATCATCTTTGTTGCTCTTCTCTGAACTCTTTCCAGAGTCTCAACATCTTTTTTATATTGTAGCGACCAAGACTGGATGCAATATTCAAAGTAGGGTCTTACCAAAGCATTATACAGTGGTATTGCTTTGGGAGTCAGTTCTGAGGAGGGGAACATTAAAATAATAATAATAATAACAACAATAATAATAATAATAGTAGTAGTAGTAGTAGTAGTAGTAGTAGTAGTAGTAGTAGTAGTAGTAGTAATAAAGTTGGAAGGGACCTTGCAGGTTATCAAGTCCAACCCCCTGCTCAGGCAGGTAACCCTATACCATTTCGGACAAATGGCTGTCCAGTCTCTTCTTTTTTTTTTTTTTATTAAGAATTTTTAACATTTTACAAAATAAATCCCCTCCCCAAACCCGCCCACCCACCCATACCCTCCCCCAACTCCCCAAACCTCCCTAACCCTCCCCTGAACCTCCCAGAGTTGATTACAGGCTTATCCAAAATGTTTCAAAAGAAAAAAAAGAAAAAGAACTTAAAACACATATAAAACTTAAGACAACTATAAATCCTAAACAATCCTAAGAACCTTAAATTAAATGAATTATTTCTAGAAAATAATAATAAACACATTATAATATACTCTAAAAATCTTCTAATCTTACTTATAATATTATCCATCCTTCTACATAAGTTTCTTCAAAGACACAATTTTAAGCACTGCTTTCTTTAAACATCTATAACTACAATATAAAGTCTAGCATAAATCATAAGCAAATCTAAATACATTTAGTTAAACAAGTTATAGTCCCTCCAAAACACAAATTTAAACAATCAGAACTTGAGACATTAGAACAAACAAATTATAGTCAATCAAAAACACAAATCTGAACATTACTTAAAACTTTAAACATTAAAAACCCCACCCAAACACTAAACACATTATAATATACTCCAATCCTTCTAATATCATAAATATTATTATCATTTTCATAAACTCCCCCAAAACACAAATTTATACATTACTTAAAACTTAAAAAAGGGAAAAAAAACAAAACACCTTTATACTCATTTAAATCTTATCAGATTCCATCCAAAGTAAACAGTTTATAACAAATTCACCCACAAAAAACACTATAGCAAATTCCATCCACCATAAACACAATAGATATTCAAATCTTCATCAATAACAAGTTGCAACCACAAAAAACCCAGTCCTTATCAATCTCAATTGTCCATTTTCATTCTCCATTCATTATCATACTGATATTATTATTGTCAGCCTCGACTGTCCATTTTCGTTATAAAGCTTAAAACAAATGCTTTAGGATCTGTCCTCAAAAGCTGCTCCAAATTTTCTGAGTCTCCCAACGACTCAGAAGCCAGTACATGTGGGGATTCCTTAAGCTCCTTATTCTGTTGGTCTTTTTCTTTACAATTATATGTTGCACAGATTTTCCTCTGCCCCTTCCTCTCAACTTGTTGACGCCCCTCAGGCTGAAATTTCCCCTTTTTCATCTCAGATGACCCTTCCATCCTTAATGGTTGCTCCAAAGGATTTATGGGTCTTGCTTCTCCCACAGATTCAGCAATCACTAGGTGTGAAATTTCATTACTCTTCTTCAGTTGATGCTTTTCTTTACAGTTTTGTGCTACACAAGTTGTCTCCTGCTCCTCAATCTGAACATGTTGAGATCTCTTAAACAGGGGTTCCCCAATTTTAGAGTCTTCAAACTGTAATTCTACATCCATTTCTTCCAAAGTCTTGAACTTAATAGATGGAGATGAACATACCCCCAATACTGAAGTATAAAAATCTTTTGCTTGAGAAACAGTATTAAGTCTGTAACATAGTCCCAGGTAATTCACCACCATTCCAATCGGAACATCCCATCTAAACGAAATTCGTCTCATTTTAAGTTCATTTGCTAAAAAGGCAAACTCCTTTCTTCTTATTAAAATTTTAGATGGGATCTCCTTTAAAATTATAACATCTTGTGAAGCAATTTGAAATCTCTTCTTATAAAAAGCTTGTATAATTTCATTGCGTAAAGATTTCTTCCAAAAGTAAATTACCACATCTCTTGGCAAATTCTTTTGTACTGCCACCGCAGAGTTAACTCTAAATAGTTTTTCAATTTCACTAAGTATTCCTTCTTTTTCTGTATTCAAAATTACAGCAAAGTCCTTTGCAACCATCTCTTTCAGATCTTCTTGCAAGGACTCTTCCAAGCCCCTAATTCTTAAGGCGTATTCCATTTGACCATATTGAAGCATAAGAATCTCGTTTTCCATTTCTTTTTCCATACTGTCAATTTTCCCCTCCATTAATTCCACTTTTTCAGCTACTTCTTCCACATGGGAATTCAACTTTTCAAGAACAGAAGCAACTCCTTTTAGAGCCAAAACTATGTCTTGCCTCAAAATCTTATTATTTTCTTCCAAAATCTTTTTCATTTCTGCCCTAATTTGAATTGTAAAATTTTCCATCATTTGTTGCATATCCTTCACAGTTGTTGGCTGAGCCACAGAAGATTTAGGAACTGTGAAATTCACTGGACGCTTTGGAGCCATCTTAAAAAAAAACTTTACTCCTTCTTAAAAATTACAAAAATTCCTTCAAAAGAAAATCATAACTCCCTCAAAGGAAAATCTTTAAAATAATGAGAAAAATAAAAAAATAATAAAAAAAGAGAGTTAGAAAAGAAGAAAAAAAAATAAAAGAAATTAAGATATACACTCCAATCATTAAAATGAAAAAAAAGGGAGAGGGGAGGGAAAAAACCAGATTGCCTGCCCTTTAAAAATACAAGAGACGAAACCACAAATCAAACCAAAACAAAAAGTTAGAATATACACTCCAATCGTTAAAGTGAGAAAAAAAGAAAAAAAAAAGGGGGGGGGAAACCAAAATGCCTGCCTTTTAAAAATACAAAAAGCAAAACAAAAAATCAGACCAAAACCAGAATGCCTGCCCTTTAAAAATACAAGAGACAAAGCAACAAATCAAACCAAAACAATAATAATACTTCTAAAATCCATCCAATTCATTAAAAAGAAAAAAAAGAAGAAAGTAAAAAAAAGCCGATCGCCACTCTAGCTTCCCAAAAAAAAAAAAAAAAAACGCTAGAAGGTCTCCCGATCGCCATTTGCTTTCTCTTTCAACAAAAAAGCAAATAAAAAGACTATAAACAGAACAATAAACCTTTGGATTTAAAATAAAATCAAAGAAGGCGAAAAATAGATCAATAAAAGAAATTAGAATATACACTCCAATCGTTAAAGTGAAAAAAAAAAGGGGGGGGGAAACCAAAATGCCTGCCTTTTAAAAATACAAAAAGCAAAACAAAAAATCAGACCAAAACAATAATGTTTAGAAAATTAAACAACAAAAATTAATAATACTCTAAAATCCATCCAGTCCTTAAAAAGAAGAAAGAAAAAAAAGAGAAGGTAAAAAAGCCGATCGCCATTCTAGCTTCCCGAAAAAAAAAAACTGCCGATCGCCATTTTACTTTCCCTTTCAGCAAAAAGCAAAAAATAAAAAGAAAGACTATAACAAAAGAATAAACCTTTAGATTTAAAATACATATAAAGTCAAGGAAAGCAAAAAAATAAATCCTCTAAACAACTCTGTCCGCTTCTTAAAAAAAAACTCACTAGATCACTTTAAACGCGGAGGTGGTTGCGAGGGCTTGTTTTGTCCCAAGGACAAAAGCAGCTGGGAAGCGGAGACAGTCTGAACTCCGTGGGAGCACTCTATCACCCCCAAAAAAGGAAAATTGGGGGTACATAAGAGGCTCTACCACTATTCAGACTACCCTCTGCCCCCCCCGTTGCCCGGGAGGGGGATTTTGAACCGCTGAACAGCTGATGTCTGCTGTTCATAGCGGTTCATTACACTTACCCAGGAGGACGGCTACAAAGTAGCCGCCATCGCCCAACGCAGATCCACCGGAAGCCAGTCTCTTCTTAAAAACTTCCAGTGTTGGAGCATTCACCGCTTCTGGAGGCAGGTTGTTCCGCTGGTTAATTGTTCTAACTGTCAGGAAGTTTTTCCTTAGTTCTAGGTTGCTTCTCTCTTTGGTTAGTTTCCATCCATTGTTTCTTGTCCTGCCTTCAGGCGCTTTGGAGAACAGCTTGACTCCCTCTTCTTTGTGGCAGCCCCTGAGATATTGGAACACTGCTATCATGAACCCCCTCATCCTTCTCTTCATTAAACTAGACATACCCAATTCCAGCAACAGTTCCTTATATGTTTTAGCATCCAGTCCCCTGATCATCGTTGTTGCTCTTGTCTATACTCTTTCTAGAGTCTCAACATCTTTTTTACATCGTGGTGACCAAAACTGAATGCAGTATTCCAAGTGTGGCCTTACCAAGGCATTGTAAAGTGGTAATAATACTTCATGTGATCTTGATTTGATCCCTCTGTTAATGCAGCCTAGCACTGTGTTGGCCTTTTAGGCAGCTGCAGGACACTGCTGGCTCATATTTAAATTGATTGTCCACTAGGACTCCGAGATCCCTCTCACAGTTACTACTATTGAGCAAGGTATCCCCTATACTATACCTGTGCATTTGGTTTTTCTTGCCTAAATGTAGAACCTTACTTTTTTCACCATTGAATTTCATTGAATGTTGCAATTCTAGACTGAAAGGCTCCGGCAATTGAGAAAAGCTTTCGCTTTAAATTAAGCCAGTTTACCTTAAAAAAAAAAACCTTTCTAAAAGCCACAGTCAGACTCAATTAAAGGGGGTAAAACTAATTACATTTGTTTAAAGCAGTGGTTCTCAACCTGTGGGTCGGGACCCCATTTGGGGTCGGACGACCATTTCAGGGGGGTCGCCAAACAACGCAGTCTGCCATTTTTCCCCCCTTTTCCTTAGCTGTGATACTCCCTTTTATTCTATTGGCTTTTGAAAGCCAATAGAATAGACTCTCTTGAATAGAGTCTAATTCTATTGGCTTTCAAAAGCCAATGGGAATTGTCCAGTCTGTCTCTGCCCTGCTGAGCCCACCAAAAGTCCCATTCTGCAAATGGTGCTGCACCAGTTGAGTAGTCCTCGACTTACGACCGGTTGAGTGGTCCTTGACCTACGACCGGTTGGGGGGTCGCGGCATTAAAAAGGTTGAGAACCACTGGTTTAAGGGGATTAAACCTTTCCTGATGCTTTTTCCCCTCCCCCCACCCAAACCTCTCCTCTCCTCTCTCCCCCCCTTTTTCTTCAGTTCACCACCAGCTCCCAGCTGCTTCTGGAAGGCCAATCAGCTGAAGCCAATCAGCTGGAGCCCTGCCGGCTCCTGGGGCTTCTGCCAAGCCCAGATAGTCCTGCAGCTGCAGCTGCCTCTCCCTCAGGCTTTGCTCACTTCGGCTCATTCCCCTCCCCTGCTACACTTGGCCAGATATCACATACCACCTGCCATGTGGCAAAATACCACAAGTGGTACACGTATCCCCAGTTGAAAAGCCCTGCTTTACAAAGTCTCTGATGGTAAAAACTCAGATTGATAGTCCCTTTTCTAACTCCAGATGCATCAGTCCAGATACTCTGTGCATTTCCTGAAGTCAGCTGCAGTTCATCAATTTTAATTAAATTTGGCCTTTAAAAAGAGACTCAGACTCTCCTCCTGACTTTTTGTACTTCTAAAGGAATTCTAAAGAAAATAAAATCTTTTTTAGGTGCTCAGTATAACTGTTGCTCCACGGCTGGAGGCAAGAAACAGGGAGGGACAGAGGCTAAGAGAGGATCTAAGAGGATTTCATCAGGATCTGCCAGCTGTTGTGATGGGATTCTGGAGTTTCCTTTACATCCCTTGAAGCAATTCTATGGTCTGGTCCCTGCAGTTTCACCAACCTCAAAAACTGGAAAAAACAATGGCCTAAAGGTCAGGTATGCTCACATCTGGACACAGCTGGGGTCAGATTTCCCTCCCACATCCCTCCAGCCTGCCCAAGACCCCAGTCTTTCCCTCCCTGCAGCCTCTCACCCTCCAGGGCCACGTCCAGAGGCTCCTGCAGGCTGTCGTGCTCCACGTGGCAGCGATAGCGGCCCCTCTCTTTGGGATCGATCTGGATGCTGAGCCAGGCGTGGAAGGTCCCATCTGCGTTGGGGGCCACGGAACCACGGAGGGTGTCCTGAAGCCAGACCTCCCCGTCCCTCGTCCAGGAGGCATCGATCTCCCTGGGGTAGAAGCCATGCAGGCGGCAGACGTGCGTCTCCATCCCATCCTCCACCTCCTTTTTCCTGCTGCTCATGGTCACCACTGGGGGCTCTGCAGAAAAGGCACCCCCGGAATTAATTCTGAGCCCCTCCAGAGCCTGGAAGGTGGATGGGAAACTTGGAGGGGCAGGAAAATCTCCCACTACTTCCCACTCCACACCTGCAGCGTCTCCAAGAGTTTTAGGAAAAGCTCCAGATCTGGAAAATGCTCAACCACAAGAACTCCCGATTCTGAGTCCTTCCCAGGGACTCAGCCTGAAAAACCTCCAGCAGCAAATTGAGAGTCCAAGGAAATTCCTCTCTGGCTGCTTTGAACTCTGAATGATCTTGGATTGTTTCCTTCAGGGGAGGGAAAGTGGAGCTGCTCTTTTAAGTTCCCTTTCAAGACAACAACAACACAGAGGTTTCTCCCTACTTTTGGGGTTCACTTCCCCTTCCCCAAATCTGAGGCTGTTCTAGGCTTCTTTCCAAGGGGCACAATCACAATTTCAGGATTATTTGTTTTATTTAGCATATGGCAACACTTTCCTGGGGGGGGGGGAGAATGAGAATCAAAGCAAGGGCTTTTGGAATCTCACCCTGGTTAATTTGGAAACCAGATTCTGCCTGTCACAGTGGGGCAGAGAGAGAGGTAATGCCTATGGAAGACGGAGACAGTCCCCACAGGGAAGGGAGGGGCTGTGGGGAATTGTGGGGAGGGGTATCCACCTGAGGGAAGTTAGCCCCACCCAGAAGGAAATATTAAAAAGGAAAATATATTTTTCACCAAAAGGATTTTTTGAAAAGCAGAAACCAAACCTGGCCCCAGATTTCTTTGCCTCAAGCAAGAGCTAGCCTCATAGAAATGCAGATATAAGACCATTAGGAAGTTGGAGCCAGGGAACTCAAGACAAAGAAACTCTTAAGAGTCATTAGCCCAGCCCCAGGGAAGCAGGAGATGACTTTTGGGATATAATAGGACTAACCCATTACCATCAAGTATACCGTAGAGGCACACCTAAACTCAGGTCAGAATACGTGACACAGGAAATAGCCTCAAAGTTCATGCCACAGGAACAGGAAACTATTCCAAACAAAAGGCTAGAGGGGATATAAAAACCTACAACACCATGTGCTCAGCCCTTCTCTCCTCTGCTCTTTGCTGAAGAACCATCTTCCTGCTTCTTCAATAAACTGTAACCTTCTTCCCAAAGCAGTCGCCATGTTTGCTTATTTATTCCCGGCTTGGATGAACCAGGATGAAGACTTTACTTCCAACACACCCATGATGCCTGACCTCACCCAGCTGATCCTGGAGGGGTCAAGGAGCCCAGAGAGGAAGGGGGAAGGGCAGTGGGGCAAGGATAGTCCTGAGAGGAAAATAATAGCAGGAAAGAAAGAGGGGGGAAACATGACATTGTGAGCAGGAAGCCCTCTGGAGCGAGGGAGTGTCCCTGGAAGAGGGGAAGGGAATGTTTTCTGGAGAAATCACTAAAAACAAAAATAAGAAACCTGTCTGAGTTTAAGAGAAACATCCACAGAATCTGTGGGTATTTCCCCCCCTCCCCCAACCTTGGCCATGTTTGCCCGAGGGGAGGCGCTGATAATGTCCTGTTAAGGGTAGGTGCCCCCTAGTGGTAGGTTTATTTAATGGCTGCCTCGCAATGGGAACTAAACAGGGCTTCCCATATTCTGGGGAAATGCTGGAAGGGAAGAGGAGTCTATGCTGAACAACCAGGCTCTAGACAAGGGACCCCCAAAAAATCAGACCATAAAGGAGCCTGTCCAGCCTGTGTCCAGATGCTCACCTGTCCTCAGCAGTGCCTCCTTCCTATAAGACAGGTACTTCTTTATCCACTCAATGCATTCCTCCTCCAGGTAGACCTTATGTCTCTGATTATATCCTGGGATAGCGTCCCATTTCCTCTGGATGATCTGGGCCTGGGGTTCAGAAGCCACCCAGGTGAGGGTCTCCTTGTCAAAGGTGAGGAAGGTCTTCCCTTCGTAGCCATACTGCAGAAACCCTCCTTTGCTCCCGTCTCCCCGGAGCTCACAGACAATCATCTTCTGCAATGTGTTAAGGCCTGAAATAGGGACAAGATATGATGGCTTGGGGAGTCCTCAAGATAGACACAGACCCCCCTCCCAGCAGAGACTTTGACACTGGAGGTAGGCACTGACACCTCCATTTCCTCCAAGAAAAAGAAGTCTCCCCCCCCCTCACTAACTGCCCTTTTCCTTTTCCTCGACCTGGGTTCCTCCATGTCACCCCCAGGATGGAGCCCCTGAACCTCCCCAAGAAAATTGAAACTGGGGAAGCCAGCGGAGGATCCTGAGGGAGTGAGAAAAAAAGGAGTGACAGAGGAAATGGAGGGAGGGAGCCTCCTCTATCTTTCCTTCTGCTGTTCCTCTGCTGGGGAGACCCTTGTGGGGGGGGGAGGAAGGGATCCCAGAGAGGGAACAGTTGCCTGAATCTGCAGCTCCAAAGAGGGACTGGCCTCAAAGAGGATCTGTGCAGGCCTGAAAGACGGACAGGAGGATGGTTTGGGGAATCCCCAGAGACACAGAGGCCTCCCTCCCTACAGGGACTCTGAGACTGAAGGGAGGCAACGACGCCTCAATTTCCTCCACAGCGCTTCCCTCCAATTCTCCCACCTCCCCACTCCCTACCGGTTGGCTTGCATCTCCCCTAGGATGGAGCCCCTGAAGCTGGCTAATCCCCCTCTCAACCTCACAGGATCAGAAAAGGCAATGGAGGATCCCAAGGAGGGCCAAGGAAAGATGGAGGCACAGAGGAAACATCTTTCTTTCTGCTGCTTTCTTGGGGAGATCCCAGAGCAGGAACAGGGGCCTGAATCTGGCTGCAAGGAGGGACCAAGAATCTCATGGATCATCCTTTTCAGAGGATCCATCTGAAAAGACACTTGCAAGGATCCCTGTGATCGTAAAATCATGGTCTGCATTCACAAATAGCACCGAGTCTCAAGGGCTGGCTCCCTGTTTCGGCTATCCAGAAACAAACCATGGCTTGGTGCAATGTGGGAATGAAGCCTTGAAGGGCCACAAAGGAATATTTTCCTCAGCAAGAGCAGCAAGTGGCCCAGGCTGATCGGCACCCCCAAAGGGTTATTGACCTTTGAAATGAAGTTTGAAGTTTACAGTCTCTGCAAGGACCTGGAGAAGATGTTTCAACTTCAAGTGACCAAATTCTTGGATTTAAAAATAAACGGAATGTTTGGGAAAAAAAACAAAAGAAAATGTTGAAATGTTTCTACTTCTGCTTGGGCTTGAGAGTGAGGAAGGACGCCAGAAACTCTCAAATCTGAGGGAAAACCACTTGTAAGTACAGTTGAACTAAACTGACCGGTCCTTTCCCTCACTTTCCACTCCCATGAGTGACCTGGTGAGGGGATCCTTTCTCTGCAGCTTCTGCTCAGCCTGAGACCTTCCCTTTGGAGGGAGAGGAAGATCCTCCTGAGCTGAGTCTGATCCTGCCCTCCAGAGGAGATTCCCTGATCTGCTCAGGGAAAAAAAAAAGATTCTGGATTCCTGCCATTCACAGGAAGGCACTGAAAATCTGGCTGCAGTTTTCAACTTCTGAGAACCAGCTCTGTCTTATTTCGGAAGCATCAAAAGCTAAGAAATAAGCTCGTCTTATTTCAGTTGTAGATGAAATCTGGGTGTTCTCATCTCACCTTTGGCATAGAACTGAATGTTTTGTGCAGGGATCACATTGAAAAGGCAAGTTTCACTTTTTATTATCAGTGTAAGAACGCTGTTAATGCAGCTCTGAGCCTGGATGTGCAGGGATTCCCCCAAGGCCTGAAAAATATTTCAAGGGTTCCTCCTGTGTCAAAAAGTTGAGAATGGCTGCTTTAGAGAAGTTAAAATATATTTATATTTGTAACAGCTGTGAAGAATATCAGAAGGCTTTCTGTCTTTTTCTTTCTTTATTTTCTTCAACTTGTAGTTTTTTTCTTTTTTCTTTCATTTCTTTCTTTTGTCCCCTTTATTTTATATCACGTTCTATTCATTTTTATCTTCTTGTTAAAGAGTTTTAGTAAAATTATATGTAAAAAAATTAAAAAGGCCAACAGGATGTCGTGGATCGTTAAAATGGTGTTGAAAACAGAGGCTAATGTCACAAAGCCTTTGCGTAAATCAGTGCTTCTCAATTATTTTCTGTCATGCCCCCCTAGGAAGAAGAAAACATTTCGCGCCCCCCCCCCGCACGACTGTCTATCCAATCGGGTCCTTTGCGTGTGTCACGTGCGTCCAATATGACAGTATTTGCCGAGGTCAAACGAGCCCCCCTTTACGGAGCCTCGCGCCCCCCCAGGGGGCCCACCCCACTATTTGAGAAGCACTGGCGTAAATCAAGGGTGGGACCACATCTGGAATATTGTGGGCAGTTCTGGTCCCCAGACCTCAAAAAAGACAGGAGGGAGCTGGGGAAGGTCCAGAGGGGGCGACCCAGAGGATGGGGGGGTGGAAGCAGCCTCCCTTGGAGGAAAGGTTGGGACATTTGGGGCTGTTTGGCCTGGAAAGGAGGTTCCCCTCCACTCTGGCCGCTCTCCTTCCCCCTTTCTCCACCAGGGGGAGCCCTCTGGGTCCAGCTCTGCTCCCCTGAGAGGCCAGCAGGGGGCCTGGAGGGATCTGGGGAGGGATCTGGCCTCAGGGATTCCATGACAGCTCTGAGCTACTCAGGAAGGTCCCCAAATGGGGTTTTCTTTCTTTTCCGTCCTCCCCCCACAAGATTGGGAGGATCCTGGAAGTGACCCTGTGCCTCCCTCCAAGAGCCCCCGCCCCATTTGGCCTCCTGGCCTCTCCTTTCAATTGGAGGATGAGAAGAAGCTCCTGGCATTTTGGGCCCCACTCATCCCTCCTAAAAGGGGGTGAAGGAAAGGGTTCTAGTCTCCTCAGGTGGATCTGCGCTTGATTCCTCATTTCTGTAGAATGGAAACAGAAAGAAGGACGAGGACCTGCTTTCACCAGGATCTCCTTAGGATCCACCTGCTTCTTTTCCGGGAGGGGAGAGACCTGTGATTCCCTTCCTCCCCCACAGCAGGGGATCCACCAAGGCCAGGACCCTCCGACTTTCATGGGAAAGGGGAGATTTTGGTCTCTCTTTATCTCCGTTTATATCCATACCCACATCCTATCAATATACAGAGAGAGAGAGAGAGTGGGAGAACTTTAAATATGTTGGTCCACCAAGGCCAGAACCTTCCATCTTTCATGGAGGGTGAGAGATTTCAGTCTCTTTCTACCTCACTTTATATCCACATCCTATCAATAGCCAGACAGATAGATGGGTAACTTTAAATATGTTTTGATTAATTGCAGTCGGCAGAAAACATCGGCTACGGCAGTGGTTCTCAACCTTTTTAATGCCGCGACTCCCAACCAGTCGTAAGTCGAGGACTACTCAACCGGTTGTAAGTCGAGGACTACTCAGCTGGTGCAGCACCGTTTGCAGAATGGGACTTTTGGCGGGCTCAGCAGGGCAGAGACAGCCTGGACAATTCCTATTGGCTTTTGAAAGCCAATAGAATTAGACTCTATTCAAGAGAGTCTATTCTATTGGCTTTCAAAAGCCAATAGAATAAAAGGGAGTAGCACAGTTAAGGAAAAGGGGGAAAAAAATGGCGGACTGCGTTGTTTGGCGACCCCCGTGAAATGGTCGTTCGACCCCAAATGGGGTCCCGACCCACAGGTTGAGAACCACTGGGCTACGGAGACACGTTTATGATGATTTTAAAAAAAGGAATAAACATATTTTAAAAAAGACTTTTTAAAAATGTGTGGAAGTAACCTTTTTCTTTGAAAGGACCCCCTTTCTCCCCCATCTGGTTCCTGGGGAGGCAGGAGGAGCCACCTGACCCATCACTCACCGCTATGATTGTAGAGAGTCCTCAGAATCTCCAGGTGATCTATGAATGACTCCTCTTCGCCACGACATGTCTGGGTGCCTCTCTCCCAGTACGTGGGGTCCTCCTTCCTCACCTTCTCTATCCAGGGGACTCGAGGCTGGAACTTCCGGTTGCTGCTGTCGTAGTAATTGAAGAGTTGATCATCCACGTACCCCAGAGAGACAAAATGGGGCAGCCCCTGACTGGGCTCCGAGATGGAGGAATGGAAATACTTCAGGGAGTGCGAGGAGGCACCTGGAAGGGACCCAGAGGGGCAGAGTTAGGAGGTTTCTGCTGGGGGACCTTGATGCTATAGGTCACAGCAGGTCCTATTTTCAGGTCTGGGAAGAAGAGAAAAGAAGACCTGGGCAGGGCAGAGGTGGACGGAGGAAATTAAGGGGAAAATGACGGAAGAGAGAGAGAGAGAAAACAAGCAAAAGGTAGAAAAAGGGAGCCACCGAGAGCATCTTCTGCAGGACCTGAAGGGCTGGAGGGCACAGAGGTTGGAGGAGAAAGAGGAAGGGAAGGGAAAGCAGGGCCAGAGAGAGAGAGGGGGATCCCCAAACTGCATGTGCTCCCCTCCTATTGTGCCTCCCCCCTTTTCAGCAAGGCCTCCATCAACCCCCACTTCTGCCATGCTCAGTTTCTACCCCATGGAGGCTGCACTGGCCCCACAGGAAGAAGAGTGGCTCTATCCTCAGAAGTTCAAAAGCAGCAGGAAACCCTACACAAATAAACCGCCACCTGAGCCGAGATGGCGCAGCAGTTAGCGTGCAGTACTGCAGGCCACTTTAGCTGATTGTGTTCAGCAGGTCAGCGGTTCAAATCTCACCGGCTCAAGGTTGACTCAGCCTTCCATCCTTCCGGGGTAGGTAAAATGAGGACCCAGATTGTTGGGGGCAATGTAAAATATATATATATATATACAATGTGTATGTGTGTGTGTGTGTGTATATATATATATATATACACACATATGTGTATGTGTGTGTGTGTGTGTGTATACACACACACACACACACACACACACACACACAGTTTACTGGTGTACACCGCTTAGAGAGTGCTTGCACTTAAAGCGGTATATAAGTCTCATAAATAAATAAATAAATAATACCTGCCCCCCAACAGAAAGCAAGCCATTCTCACTTCACTGAGGGCCAACATGGATTGTTGATAGGTGCAGATTTGGGGGGGTTATAAAATGGGGGAGGGAAAGGGGGAACCTGGGTGAGACCAGCGGTCATGGGACCCTTAGAGGAAACCCAAAACCACTTGTCTGGGAGATATGGGAAGTCAAATGGGGGAGTGAAGGAAGCAGCAATAAAGCCACATAGCCTCCGGATCTTCCTCCTTGTCCCCCCCCCCAGCTGGAAAATTCTTCCTTCTGTCCCAGAGGTCAGCCATTTGAGCAGGAATCGGCTTTGAACCCGGGATTCAGTGGGGCTCCCCCTCATTCCCCAGAAAATCTCACTGTGATTATCCCAAGATTTCTTCATTTCAACAACCCAATTAGGGCTCTGGAACTGTCATTCCCAGGCTCTTGCATTGAACCAGATTTATTCTGAATTACACCCTTCTTTCTGCAGAAGGTACTCTGAAACTTGTCCTCCTTTGGTTCAGATCCTGCACTTTGTCAGCACAAATAAAGGCAGAAATGCCCCTGAGCAAGCTTGTGAGGTTGTTGGTTGTGGCTACCCAACTCTTCACATGATCAGTGACTCTCAATGTAAAGGCCTAGATCAGAGTTTCTCAGACTCAGCCACTTGGATTTTAATCCCCAGAATTCCCCTCACTCAGAAACTCATGGGGCCTCTCCACCCTGGCCCCACCCCTGCCCTCACTGAGGCTGATTGGGAGTTCCTGCTGCCAACACTCATGTTGTGTGGGGCTCTGCTGGGATCCTCTCCTTAAACTCAGTCTCTGTGTGGAGGGTCCTATCACCTTTAAAGCCCCTCTGGTGAATCAAAGGTATATGTGTAAAAATATTTCAATATCTGAGTTTCTTGATTGGATTATATACAGTCTCAGATTTCTTTATGCCAGAGGACACTTGAAATAACCTTACATATTTTTGATGTCTGAACAGGGATTTGAAGGCTCTGTTCCTTCAAGGTGGTCCCCCAATCGAATCCTTTTGTGGCTCACCAACCTTCAGGTATGATGTTCAGGAAAACCAGTGCAGATCGGCTACGAAGTCAAGAATGCTCTCAGACTCTTTGTGTCTGGTGACCTCAAACCAACCAGCAGCCGGCAGACCTGTGGTCATCTGAACCTGAATATTTAAAGAGGCTTCCATCTCATCTTGTCCCAGTGAGGTAGGAAGAGACGAGAATATAGGAGGAATTTGGTAAGTAGAAACAAACATTCTGGAACTGAGGAAAAGGTTGGGGAGAGTGAGTGTGTGTGTGTGTGTTTGCCTGGAATACAGGAAATTTCCAGTAGGAAGCTGCCTGCAGAGCAATAGAACTGGGAGACTGTTGAAAAAACCCCTGTGAATATTCCTGCATAAGAGAGGGCTTGGCCAGCCCCGAACCGCATGGAGACTGGTCCAAGAAATCTCTTGGGAATCATAGGAACAGAAATAGTAGTTTGTACTGAGCAGAACAAATGAACTCGTGTTTAGGAAAGAGGAGGAGTCGTGTTTCCAGTAGGCTGCATGTTAGCCCATTGGAATGCACTGAAACTGATTGTGGCAGTAAAAATAACCTTCAAGAAAGCAAAGTTGAAAACTCTGTGCATCTTCATTTGGCTAGCTTATGTTTTAACAGTTTTAGCCATGGAAGAAATGGAAAAAAATTGAAGAAAAGCTGTATGCAGGCTTTCCCCCCTCCAATTTGGCTCTTCAGATGGACATTCAATTCCTTTCTGTTAGACATTAGCATTATCTACAATGACCTTACTAATACTGAAATTCCCTGTCTGTTATCAGAAACCACCCCTACTGTCGGACAGGAAGAGAGGAGACAGTTTTCCCCTCCCCGTTCAGGCCGGCAAAGGACCCAAAATTCAACATTCCTTTTTGATCCTTCTCCAGTGTCCTTTGAATTTAATGGGGTGGGACCTGCTGGGAAAATTGGGACCAACCATCAAATGTTCCCCTGATAAAATAAGTTAAAAAGGGAGGCCAGCATTGGCCTCAAACCCCAAATTGATGTGTTTCTTAAAAATGACCTTTGTGGGAGATTAGAACAAAGTGGGCTTCTAAGCTTGGGCTTGAAGTGATGGGAAAATGGCCCACAATCACATTTTTGATTGGAATCACTCCTTGAGTTTTCCCACTTCTTTAACAAGCCACAAGTTGCCCAAGGAAAGAAAAAGAAACTCCACAGGTCTGGAAATGTTATTTTGATGGTATGTATGTATGTTTTGTATCATTTCCAAGACCTGGAGGGAGGATGAGGCCCTCTAATAACAATACACAAGAGGTTATTCAAAAAGGCTAATTTGGAAAATGGAGCTCATTGCATTGTGAAAAGCTCCCTGAAATAATAATAAAATGATTGGTTTGCCTGGAGAAAGCATAAAATGAAATATCTGTATGTGAAATTGTTTATGCAAGCAGTTTGAATGGAAGATAAATGTGTGGATATCCTGATGTGTAAATGCCTATGTTTATATGTTAGCTCCCCCAGCTCACCCCAGACTGTGAAAGAAACACTAAGTTGCAGATTTTTTTTATTCATTGAAAAAAGCATGTGAAGAGAGAAAACTATTCTGTTGAAAGAATGCTGAATGGAAAAAGGGGGTGAGATTTTTGTATAGTTTTTTTGAATTTTGTTTCTGCCTTCTCTGTTGCCAAGTGTTATGTTTTTTTCTCTATTTCTGCTTTGGAAAAGCGAGAGAGGCAGAAAAGGAGGAGGGGTGCGGTTTTTCTGATCCTTTTAACCATGTTTTTCCTGCTTACTTTCTGCTGAGCTCTGGCCTGAGCGAAAGAAGGCGAAGTGATGTAAAATCTAACACCTACTTTTTGCAGCCTTGACTTGCAATTTTTTTACTCGGAAAGGGGAGGCAGTAGAGATCATTGTACTGCTAAACAAAGAAAGTTTTAGTTGAGCAAGAAATAATGTTACTTGTAAATAAACGAGACATGAGAAAAACTTGACATTGGAATACACTGGAAATGAAGTTTAAAATGTTTAGTTGACCCTATATATATATATATATATCCATCAACCAAAAGAAATGACTCTGAATTGTTTTGCTTAGATTTGTAAATGTTTTTAAAAGTCTGATGCATGGTTTCAGCCTTTGCAATAGCCTAGTGCAGTGGTGGCGAACCTATGGCATGGGTGCCAGAGGCGGCACTCAGAGCCCTCTCTGTGGGCACACAAACCATTGTCCCAGTCCTAGGACTTCAGCTGGGTTTTCACTTTAGACCTCCACCACCATGTAAAAAAAAAAAGGTTCAGTCAGTCAATTTCAACTTCTCGTGGGAAAAAAAAGATCTTGGAATTGATTGATTGAACTTTTTAGTCTCACCCAGTCTGCTGTTATCACTGCAGCCACGCCCCCCAATGGGCCACACCCATCTGGCACCGACGATGCATAAGTGGGTTTTGGGTTGCAGTTTGGGCACTAAACTCTAAAACGTTCGCCATCACTGGCTAGTGGCTTACTTGCATGCCCACATATATTTTTAGTGCATTCATTCAGAACACTTCATTAAGTTTGTTTCTTTCTTTGTGAAGTTGCTTTTTGATTTATTTTATTTTTTATGTTTATGTGCAGGACACACTGATTGATAAATGAAAGAAATAGACAATAATACCTAAGAGAACTGAAGGAATTGTAACTCAATCCTTTATGTTTGTGTGCAGGACACACTGATTTGTTGATTAATGAAAGAAATAGACAAATAATACCTAAGAGAATTGAAGGAATTGTAACTCAATCCTTTATGTTTGTGTGCAGGACACACTGATTTGTTGATTAATGAAAGAAATAGACCATAATACCTAAGAGAACTGAAGAAATTGTATCTCAATCCTTGCCTAAAACAGTGTTTCTCAACCTTGACAATTTTAAGGCATGTGGACTTCAACTCCCAGAATTCCACAGCCAGCAATGCTGGCTGCGGAATTCTGGGAGTTGAAGTCCACATGCCTTAAAATTGTCAAGGTTGAGAAACACTGGCCTAAAACAAAGAAGGAGTTGAGGAAATTTGGGGGGTTATAGATAACTATGCTGTTTTGATTAAAGAGAGCTTAATGTTATACAATGGACAAAGGAGGAAAACCAATTTGTTCGTAGAT